ACTGAGTGTGGTCATGTCATAATCCCTTCTCTCTCTCTCTATTCTTTGGGGATTTGGGGGGACACATCAGAATTACCATTAGGATTATGGAATTTTATAGGGCTCTGTCCTACAGTTTGAGATTAAGAATTGAAATAGTCAGGACCAGAGAAGGAGAACCAGTAAGATGGGGATATATTAATATGGGATTTACTACAAGGAGACAAGGGATTGGTTTACCACATTATTAGGCTGAGAACTGAGAAGTTCTATAATCTGTTGTCTGGAAGCACAAGAAAGTGGGTGATAAAATTCAATCTGAGTCTAAAGACCAGAAAAGAGGACTTGACAGTGTGAAGCTCAGCGTGAGGGCAGGAAAATACCAATGTCCCAGCTCGAGCAGTTTAGGCATGCAGTTGTCTTTTCTCTCTTTCTCTCTTTCTCTCTTTCTCTCCTTTCTTTCTTTCTCTCTTTCTTTCTTTCTCTCTCTCTTTCTTTCTTTCTTTCTTTCTTTCTTTCTTTCTTTCTTTCTTTCTTTCTTTCTTTCTTTCTTTCTTCCTTCCTTCCTTCCTTCCTTCCTTCCTTCCTTCCTTCCTTCCTTCCTTCCTTCCTTCCTTTCTTTCTTTTATTCGAGAGAGATTTTTGTTATAGGGCACATGTGCTTGCCTGAGAGAAAGAAAGAGCCAGAGAGCCAGAGAGTGAGAAGTCACCCCATAGGGGTATGGCCACACAGTAATCCCTTCTCCCCAATACTCCTGGGATTATGGACACACATGCACACATGCCCAGCGTGAGTTTTAAGTCACTGGATCTGGGACTCAAACCACAGTCAACTACGTGGGAGTCCAGTGACGTGACTGTTACGCCATCTGCTTGTCCACAGTTGTCTTTCTTTTCTTTGGGTGTTGGGCTGGAAGAAGAGGTTTGGTTCAGAGGCATTCTGGTTTTTGTTGTGTTTATGTTTTCAGTTGATTGACGAGTTTCACCTACACTGGGGAAGGCCATCTGTTTGAGTGAGTCCACTAATTCGATTAAGCGGATCTCCACAAACCCTTTGAATTATACAAAACTGAAGTGTTTTATTCATTTGGAGAATATTAAGAAAAGAATTTGAAAATAAGAAGTTTTAATAGATGTATCATACTCTATACCTAATTAATTAAATCCTCATCAATATCTCTTGTTTTCTAACTTCAGAGTATGAGCCCTTCTGGATATGGCCAAGGAGGTAAAAATATCAGGGAAAGCTCCATCAAACATTCTTAATAGAGGGCCAGCCAGGTTTCATGGTAGTTATAGCAGCTGGATACTATGTGGCCAACAGAGGATTTGAGTCCTGGACCCAGAAGCTTGAAAAACATACCTGGCATGTGCACATGTGTACCCAAAGTCCCAAGAGGAAAACTGAGGAAAAAGGATTGTTGTCACTCCTCCTGGCTCCTGGGAGATGATTTCTCATTCTCTCTAGTGAGTGCACATGCCCTATAGCAAAAACAAACAAACAAACAGAAAAACAAAATAAATAAAAACTCTGAATAGATTTATTAAAATGTATAGACTTTGTGAATAAGACAACAAGAGACAGATTTATGAAAAATATCAAATAGCAAAACTCCAGGTATTTATAGGAAATGAGGCATCTTGAGGGTCACATATATATTAAGGTACCTGTAGATAATGCCTTGCATTTTTTTTATGTATAATGTTTGTCTCACCTGATAATTCTCTCTCTCTCTCTCTCTCTCTGGACTACAGTTTTTATTAGACCATGTGAAATAAGAAGGATAAAGATAATGTAGTAATGTTTCCTCTAAAGTTAAATGTATTTACTTTTTTTTAAGGTCCAGCAGTCCCCAGACATTATTCTTTCTTTTTTAAAATTAATTTTTAGGAAAAGCCAGAATCCATGTGCATCTGAGGTGAGCCTAGCCCTGCCCTATAATTGGAAAGCCTCGACCCAAATCTTTTCTTCAGGCCCAACACCCAGCAAATAGCCAGGTAGGGTGGTCTCTTGTCTTTTCTGTCTCTGTTTCTCTCACTTCCTCTTTCTTTCTCTCGAAAATTTTCTCTTTTATATATATGTTTTATTTTTAAATCTGTAAATACTGTCTCTTTTCTCTGACCTCTCCTTTCTCTTGCTAATTTTAGACTCCACGTGCATCTGAGGTGTGCCTAGCTCTGCCCCTTTTGCATGGCGTGCTAGTGCGCCATGCTGTTCTCCTTTATTTTTTACTTTTTAAAAAATTTTTTTCCCTTTTCATTGTTTTGTTTTGTCTTTGTGTGTGTGTGTGTGTGTGTGTGTGTGTGTGTGTCTTTTTTCCCTTTGTTTCCTTTCTTTTACCTGGCTTTCTCACCTTGCTTCTCATTTTCCACACGTCGAGTATCTAGGCAGGTGTAGGTGCACAGTAGCAAAACATCTGAATACCTTAAGCCCTGAAGCTCAGCCCAGATAATAAACCTTATCTGTGTCCCACAAGTACCTTATCTCTCCATTTTCCCCCCAAATTTCCTTTCCTATGCTCTTCCCCTCCCACACTCTCTTTCCACTTTGTCTCTGATGGGCATTATAATTTTTAATACTTTTATGTTCTTCAGTCATTAAGTGGAGACATACAATGTTTCTCTTTCATAGCCTGAGTTGCTTCACTCAGCAACATATCTTCTGTATTTATCCACTTTCTATCAAATTCCAGAATCTTTTTTTTTAATGGCTTAATAGTATTCCATGGAGTATATTTCTAAGACTATAATATATAGATACACTTTAAAAGGATAGTACTGGAATGAACCTACTTGTACTCACCACCAAGCTTTAGAAATAGAATATTTTCAAGGTCATAGGAGCTGCCTTTTGCCCTCACAGAGAACCACTATCCTGAAAGCTGTGTTAATCATTTCTTGCATTTTCTTTATAGTGTTACCACAAGTTAAACATTTCTAAGGAACGCATTATCAACTTTTATCGTATTTACACTTTACTTAATTTCTGATTTAAAAAAAAATAATTCTCAGATTTTTTCCATGTATATATATATAATCTGTGTTTAATTGATTGTTATGGAATTAGAGTCTCAAATAATATGAAAATATTATATTTTACTTATCTATTCTATTGATTATGAATATCTGGGTTGTTTTCATGGTTTTTTTAATAATGGACAAGCTTCTATAGATATGTTTGCACCTGTTTAGAAATTTTATTTTGAAACACAAGATTTTTAATAAAATGGGTACAAAATGATACAAATATTTTGAAACATAAGTCTGTGGCATTAAAAAATAGTGTAGCTGTATTTACACTTATAAACAACTTCACATAATAGGGGTATTCTTAGAAATTGACATCAATAAAATTTTATTTTTAAATGCCCATGTGTGCATGTTTGTTTAAACATTACCTAGACAATCTTCTTATCTAAAGGAATCCTCAGATAACAATTCTGGAGAGAAAGAATTCTTTATAAAATAAATAATTAAACTGGAGTTTATAAGTTATATCAGAAATCATGTAAAAAGTACTAAGAGAATTGGTATTTTCTTAAATAACAGGAATTTTCTTCTTCCTCCTCCACTTCACCTCAATTTATTGAGGCAATGTCACCATCCCCCTGACCAGTGCATGTTGGCATTTCTTTCAGATCCTGAGCTCTCTAACAATTGTGTGTGACCACACACAGTTTGAGAATGCTTCATCAAGGGCACACCTGTGGGGCTTATCCTCCCAACCCTGCCATTTATCAGGCACAGATTGTTCTGAATATCCTTTGCCAGGTTCCAATGTCACAGAGGCTGATGCGACAACATTTTCAAGTGGATTCTTCTTCACATATAACATTTGTCTAATTGTGTAACTCAAACCCAATATGTAAATTCTCCATAAGAAGCAGATAAACACTTATGACTCATTCCTGTCTCTTATGTTTGTGTCTGCATTTACACGGGATATGTGGATCAAAACGACAGCTTATGCTGATTGCAATAAAAGCATAACAATTTGATAAACCTAAATCTGTTTTTAAAAACTGTGGATGATAATTTGCTAAATGTAATTTTCAGCAATCCTCCATGCTATTTAAAACACAAGGGGGCTGCCGGAAGCAGCAGAGGCACCAGCGGCTGGAGCTGAGCTCCATCAGGTGGGCTGGTGGTGCTGGGTTGAACAGGTCTTGGCTCAGCATGAGTCAGGGAAGAAGAAAGGCCTCTCTGTGACTTCAGTAAAAGTGTTCATGTCCCCACAACCTCTGAGGTTCCAGCAAGAGTCCTAATATCTAGCAGCACTGCCGTCCGAACAGGTTCCCCAGCTCTCAACCCAACAAGCATATCTACAGGTTGGACTGCCTTTCTGATAGCCCAACAGCTAAGGTGTAGTTTCCAAGGGCATTTCCATTACTCATGGAAATCACTCAGATTTTCGCACACCAGATGTTCTTGACAGCTCATCCTCCATTCCCCCTACACAAAAGGTGCTGGACCAGTGAATGATCAAGGCAACTACTGAGCTGTTTTTCATTGCCATGTAGACGGAATATCACCGCCAACATAACAAAGGTCACGGAGTGTCTCTTTACAATATGACTACTAATTGAGAGTACACTTTAAAAATCCACTTATCTGGATGGGGTAGCAAGGATTTGAAGGAGATACTTTGTGACCTGTGTCATTGGTAAGTGTCTAACACTGAACTGGTCCTGAGAACTGAGATGTCTTCTTTGTAAATTGAGAGTATGGAACATAATCTTGAAGAACTGCACAGTGGTGTGGGCCAGAGGCATACTTTGTGTGTATAATAAACTGAGGGAAAGGCAAATTAAAATAAAGATTTTTTATCTCTTATTTCTATTTGCCTATGTCGTCTGTCCTGCTGGCTCAGATTGTTACCTTTTTCTGGTTTCTTACTCTGTTTTATTTTAATAGGTCCCAGATATCCTTCACCTGACCCCAGAATCAGAAAGTGAAGAAGAAAACATTACCTAAATGGGAATTCTAGGGAAGAGTGAGAATCCTTTGAAGAAGTGCACCTCATGGTGCCCAACCTTAACATCCCTTGAGAGACTTCCCTGAGAGATTAAATCCCTTTTTAAATATTTTAAATTCTTAGATCTAAGCATATTAATCCATATACTTGAGAGATACATCTAAGACTCTCCCACTGCTACCATGGTGTTCCCAAATAGAAACCAGGTCCCTAAATAGTTCCCTCTGGGCTCTTGTGGAGTACCACCTCTTCAAAAGTCACTACCAAGTCCTACTCAGCTCTCTAGGGATGATGCGACTCTAAAGGAGCACTGCAATTTGATACCAGACAGTTAAGCTGAACACTGAGTAGAGCCACTCCCAAACACACATGTAACATAGATACCCAGTTCATGTGTGTCTCATTGTTGTGGTGGCTGGCTAACTAAAACAATTAAGGAAACAACACTCACTGAACCCATCAACACTACCTACTCCTACCTTGACTTCCAGGAAGCAGTTAATAAGCCCCAAACTGCTTCACTGTGAAGAACCACCATTCACTCTAATTATCTCTGATGTTGCTCATTTAAAAAGGGGTACAAAGTTCATCATTACGCTAATGAGAAAAACTAATGCTTTCTCAACCAAACGATGTCATGCCCTGAGCAAGCCTCAGTACTACCAAGTACTGAGCATACTGAGCATATACCCAAGGATTCTGCAGCCCAAGTACTACCAAGTACTGAGCATACACCCAAGGATTCTGCAGCCTCAGTACTACCAAGTATTGAGCATACACCCGAGGATTCTGCAGCCCCAGTACTACCAAGTACTGAGCATACACCCGAGGATCCTACAGCCCAAGTACTACCAAGTACTGAGCATACACCCAAGGATTCTGCAGCCCAAGTACTACCAAGTACTGAGTATACACCCGAGGATCCTGCAGCCCCAGTACTACCAAGTACTGAGCATACACCCAATGATCCTGCAGCCCAAGTACTACCAAGTACTGAGCATACACCCAATGATCCTGCAGCCCAAGTACTACCAAGTACTGAGCATACACCCAAGGATCCTGCAGCTCAGCAACAGGAAGGTGCATGCCTTCTGACAAAGCCTACAGGTAAACTGAGAACTCAGTGGAGAATTAGTCAGAATAGACCATTTTATACAAGATAAGTTGAATGTTCTCTACAATCTCCTCCTTCCCCATTTTACTCTGCCTATCGGAGTGGACTTTAACTAGTTATCTGATTATTCCTGGGAAGGAAAAAGTAGGCCACTTCTCTTTGGCGACCCAATCTTTAAACCCCTGTTGTGGGAAGTAAGAAGGTGGCTACTCCCAATCAAACCTTTCTGAGCATCATCTTCTATGACATTCATTTCTAGGGAAGTCCTTGAATTAAACTAAATAACTATACAAAGCAAAATGGTGGAAATATGGATATCTGTTACAGGTTTCATATAGATATGCCTACATATGGCACCCTGTAGGAGTTTCCATTTTTTGTGAAGGAGAGCCATTTGAAACCTGGCCTTCACTACTCCAAGCTGTCTGAGATACCTGCACTTGCACCATAAGCTCCTAGCCAGCCGTCTCTGTCTAAATTGGCTTATTGAGTTTTCCCTTGGGATAAAACAGACATCTTTTCAGTAGGGAATATGTTCCCTGAATCTTGGCACCTAGGCTTTTGCCAAGAGCAAATAAAATACATTCCAAAACATAAATAGGGGTGAATAAAGAGAGTATTTTTGCTTTCAGTATTAAGTAATAGATAAAATATTTTATCTTGGGGCCAGCAAGTGGCATGGTAATTAAGGTGCTGGATCCATACATGGTTGACCGCAATTGAGTCCTGGACCTGGTAGCTTGAAAATCACATTGGGTGCACATGCACACATGCCCAAAATTCTGACAGGAGAATGGGGGGAGAAGGGATTGCAGTGTGGTCATCCCTCTGGGGGGGGGGCAATTTCCCTCTT